CCTTTTCGGCTAATTTTAAAGCTGAAAGGATAAACGGCACGTGATCGTATGAGCACATAAACGAAAAAAGCACAAATATTGACGAAAATTACCAAAAAAGAAAGTTCAATGCAAATTGGCATTTAGCCCTATCTCGCTACTGAGCAAATGAAAACTTGAAATTTTTACCAGGGAAAGGATTTGATCCTTATGTCCTTCATATCCTCCTAAGATTGCAATTGGTCCATGAACTCGTATATTCCATAATCGGATGGTAGTATCCTTGCTGACAGATGCAAATATCATCGAGTTTATTGCGGCATCTCAGTACGCATCTCGTTAACGTGGTCACCATGACCATACATGTCCTGAAATGTCGAGTAGTTTTTGAGGACCCCATGTTATGAAAGGTTTCCAAAAGATACCATCAACAATTTCCCTGAGCTTGGGTCAACAAGTCGAATTAGGCCAGAGTAGCCACCAAACGCTATTCGATGAGCTTTATCAGTGATATCGTAACACCAGGTCAATGTGAATATGTCCATATCGGGCTGCAATACATAATATGATTTCTCGCAGTAGTGCAGTTATCTTTGCTCAGGGTTTCGCTGACATTCACTAGCAGCCCGCAAATAAAAAATGCAGGAAAAAGCCACGCAGTAACACAAGAGTGAACACACCTGCCGCACCAGCAGAAGACAATGAAATGAATATGCGATTACCGAACGGATCCTGATGCGCTCCTCACAAGGATAATTTATTCGAATCCAGGTGGGACACTTCATAGCATTAGAAATCTAAAAAAGAACAAAGCATATACATTTACTTGTCACAAGGAAGAACCTATACTTCTAGAAACGAATAAACTGACCATGTTCTTAGCGGCAGTGGCAAGCAACGGTACGCATATGTCTGGCTGATATGGATTGAAAGCACATGCATAAATCGGCTGACGATGTTGCTCCTGGATGATGTATCTTAGAATAACTCTGATGCCTTAGAAGCTGTAATCCACAGCACTGTACAAATGATCTTTCTTTCGGCCCCTATTCAACAATACCCCCCCCCAATGTTCCGTGATCAGGCCAGTTGTTAACACGTTCCGATCGCGTAACATTCATGGTGTGTCATGCATTTGTCTCTATGCTGTTTTATGTGATTATTTTGACTTTTCTTTCATATTCTGTTGTTCTGAAAACACTTTTTGATTATCGACATATCCTCCTCCAAAAGAGAAGACGAAGGAGAAATTACTGATCAGTATTCATGAAAAATGACGAAATTATTAGAACATGCGCGCAGTACGCGGTGCAATATGTTTATCGACTTTTTGATACGAGAGCACATTTGGCTGAAAATTGTGCCTTCAGGGAATAGTTCGGACTTCCTATAAACGCCAAATAGCTCATCGCGTTGGCCTGAAAATGCCGGCACCCGTGGCTGCAGGTGGCAGTGCAAAACACCCTATGATCACCCAAACTTGTCCGTCGAGTTGCTTTACACTCATGACGGACTATTCATTCCTCGCCACCAGCCTGTTCGAACGGAGGATGCTGCGATCGTCTGTTGCCTCGTGAAGGTGAGCCTGGCCCGAATGGAACACACCCCTTGCCTGCGCCGGCGAGTCTCTAACTGAGCTGCTGAACGGTCCCAGTGTCGGAAAATGGACATGATTTTCGTCCTCGTTCAACATCATCAAGCATCGTGAGCACCAAGCAACCCTATTATGCAAGTTTTTTTTCGATTTCGGTGAAAAAAGGTGTGGCGCCAAATGGGTCCAAGGGTAAAAATAGATGTCATATTCGCCGGGGTACCGAAAGTTGCAAGTGTACACAAAATTTGGTGAGAAAAGTGGTGACGCTAAATTGGCGCTCAGTAGCGACAGATGGCGTGAACAACGGATGTCGCATCATGGTCAGAACTTCGGATAATTCGTACAAGGTTCAAAATTTTTCCGAGTTTTTGGGGTAGTATTGCTTGAAAGTACCAAGAGTTCGAGTGTTATAACCACTTGATGGAAAAAATAATGGACTATATTAGCTAATAACAAGCACAAGCCACTGTGTAGCAGAAACAAAACGTAGTTTCTGACGGAGTTCCGGAGTCGAAGTGGAATATACTAGACAAATTACAGGAAAACCCAGAACCAATAGAGCTGCACACGATTACAAACTCACATAGATGGTTTTTGACGGGATAAACGGATGGTCAGGATCATCTGGTGGAATCGAAGAAGGATTCGAAATATCGATCATTCTTGAGCAACCTGAAGGCACCCACGTAAAGACACGAACAACAACAAAGAAACTTCTACCCACCATTTCTCATTGGGTTAACACCCATCATCGTGCTGATTCAATAAGTTTGCAAGCGAAGCATAGAAATGAAAGCCAACAGTGAAGATCCACGACGAACAGTGCGATGAAAATTTTGAATTGAAACTTCACAGAAATTCCGCGCCGTCCCGACAATCGCGATCGCTGCGGGACCATCCAGAGGCTGGAGCGTATTTGGCAATTTGCCAGCATCCCATTTTCGTTCCCTTCGTGGTGTTTATTTGATTAATGCGAGTTGCTGAGGTGATTTTGTTACTTGAACGGTGTCGAACGCTTTAATTTGAAGGGAAACAACCTCAGGACGGTTTCTCATGAAAGACTTCCAGTCATGGCACGTTATTCGTTGGCAAATACCAGTGGATGGGGGGGGGGGTCGTAATCAATAGGGGCAGCGGTATTTGGTCTGAGAAAAATCCTTGGATCTCCTGCCAAGTAGGCGAGGTTTTCAAGCGCCTTGTGCTGGCACCCAATCCTATAGCAGTATGAGGTTTCCACGGCATTACAGGCGACGTCATGAAGGCAGGACATTC